TCCTGTCTGGCTGTCCCGCCTATCTTCCTGCCTGGCTACTGGCCAATCAGTGTTTATTTAAAATATAATTGACAGAATATAGACAATTGTCTTGCACCATTTTAGGAGGCAGGGGAAGTCTGTCAGATCTCTGTGAATTTGTGGCTAGCCTGGTCTACATAGTGAGCTCCAGGCCAGCTAAGACTACACAGGGAGACCTAGAAAGACCCTGTTTTAAAATAAAACAAAATACGACTATAGAGTACACACTGTGTTTGAAATCTTCTATCCAGGATTATGCTATGATCCAAACATCTTTTTTGAGTGAAAAATGCCATTGTCCAAGTTATGTATTTGTTCCTTTGAGGGTATCTGGGTGGATTTTGACTTGGGATTATTACAAATAGTAAATCAGGAATATTCTTCTTTTATTAGAACTCAGCACTCATCTCTCTTGGGTTCTCAGTATATCCAAAATTAGTGCATATATTCTTTTTTTATGCTGACATTTTTTCCTAAATTGAGATACCAGTGAACATTCCTAAGTTCCTATGTTTTCAGAGTACAATTTTCTTTTCCTTTAGATTAATGATGCCAGCCAGTGTTGGAGGTTGAGACATTTGCTACTCATCTCAGATTATACTCATAAACATACATGTGTTACATTTTTCATTTATTTGGTATAGATTGAGAGGTAGAAATTTGCCTTGCCATATGCCCAAAGGCTTACCAGTAAAAAATGAAAAATGTCACAGAAATGAAAAATAAACATTAATTTTAAAAATCAAATATTAATCACAATACCTGAAGAGACATCTAGTTTTATGGTGTAGAAGTGAACATGAATTTCAGCTGTACACATATAATATTTAATTTATAGAGTGAAACCAGAAGGACTGTTCAACTAGGGCTTGGTCCTTTAGATTCTGCCTCTCACAATTCATTTGCAACAGTTTGAATTGCATTTTATGACTTCGATTTTCTCTCATTTGTTCTTGATTGCTTTGAGAGGAAGCAGTAACTCAATATATTAAACTCCATTTAGAATCTTCAGCTCTGAGCATTTTAGTTCTGTCAAGCATGTGCCAGCAGAAGGTTGAAAAGAAATGGAACCACAGGGCTCTAGTTTATTGGGTTACATAATGGTCCATTCAAGTCACTTACCTGTGTGGGCCGGAGGGCAATATAACCAAGAATAATATTCCTGGCATTAGAAAGAACTCTCACAGGAAGAGGTGCCTAGGATCAATCTAGAAAAGCCTGTTAGGCTAGCTTTCCAAATAACAGCCTTCACTTCCCTTTTGGACAGACTTATATTATTTCAGCCATTCACTATAATTCATTCACACAATGGCTCCAGAAACACTGAATAGTCTATGGCAGGCCATGCTCTTGATACTGGGCATATGGCCCAGAGCAAAATTGGTTTTGCTCATAAGGAACTTAAATTTTTAGGTGGGGAAGAGGCAAGAAAGCATTGACGTAGGAATAGAGATTAGAGTGAGATGGAAGTAGGGACAGAGAGACGTGATTCTCCCAGAGGAAATAAAAACTGGATAAGAGGCTTGGAAATGCAGGCAGAATATAGGAAACTGCTTTTTTTTAAAGGTAATGTCAGAGAGAACAACCAATGTCACTTCATTGTGGAACTGAGCAGTGGGGATGACCACCAGAGGAAGTCATCTGTGAGGATTAGGGCAGTGTCTAGATAGGCTTCAGGGCAAGGAGGCCTCTGGGGTTGGAAGTTTAGAGAAGAGGTCAGCAGGAGGGCAGAGACTCATCAGGAAAGCCATGGCCATTGGGATGATCTTAGCCTTTTTCAAAAAAATACACAAAAATCTAAGGATTCTGAATAAGCAATAAGTCAAATTTTAAAAAATGATTATACTGAAAATTGGGTAAAGTGGACTATATGGGAAAGGCATGGAAGGAAAACAAAAAGAGACCTCTAACTGGTGCGGCCTAAGTGGTTTACTTTGTGGGATTATCAAAATCACTGTACTTTAATAATTACATTAGTACCTGGACATCAGACATGGGTAAACAATGATTGGCTTATTAGCAATAATTAGTAATCTTCTACAGATACAGATATTTTAAAATACATCCTATGTCTAAGAGTCTTTCATTACCTCCTATTTTATGAACACTTTTCTCCCTCTGCTGTTTAAGTTAATGGACCGTTCCTTGTACACATCCATATCTGAGACTCATCTCTCTTCATCTTTCAAGTATAAATATGTCCCCCAAATCCATCTTCTGCTATTCCCAGCGTTTAGAGCATCCTTCTGTCTTAAGAATTAATCATCAAATTCTCCCACAGTCCCTGGGAAACCCATCAAGCAGCAGCATAACAGTTTTCAAATTAGGACCTTGATTTATATTGGTTCAGGCCTTTGTTCTCTCAGATTATTGGCAATTGGGCCTTTTGAGATTTTTTTTTTTGACAACTGACCCTTTCAACAACATCAGTAACTTATTTATAACATATTGCTTATAGACCAGTATTTAATTAATAAACTACAATCAGGAGAAAACAGGACTTTGCAGTTCTGAAATGACTGGGAGCAATAGACACTTAAATCATTGGTTCGTTCCATCTGCCGTTATTTGCCATCCCTTCATCTTTGAAACATCTGGCAGATCCTAAAACATGGCTCTCATTGTGTCATTCTTGTCAAACTCTGAGCAGCAGCCTACTACTTCCCATGTTAAATATAGAAACTTCTGCAGGCGCTCGCATCTCCATTCTGACACCATCTTTCCCCATTATTCTTCTCCAGGTAGTAACTTAACTTCATTTAGTCAAGTTCACTATGCTGCAGTCATCTTCTCCTTCTGTATAAAACATCACCCATTAAAATCCTGTCCTTCAAATCCTCTCTCACACCACTTCCTTTACACTGCCACCAATATGCAAATTATTTCTCTGAGTCCCGAAACGCCATTGCACGTAAAGACATCAGTAAGCATGCTAAGACTGTACCCACAGAGGCCAGGTTCTCTACGGGTGTTACTTAGGCTCTGGTTTTCCCTGAAAACTGGGGTCAATAATACCTACCCATGAGACTGTTGTTAGGATTTAATGAATTATGGCAATGTGCAAATTAGTTCTGTAACCGACACGAACACTTAGCATTGTCTTTATCTTCAGGACCCATATTTAGTAGACACTTCAAATAAAACCTGTTTGACATGGAAGACAGGAGGCTTGGAGAGCTGCACAGTGCTGAATGCCACTGATCCCTGTACCCTCTGTTCTTTCTTTTTTTCGGCTGAAAAAAAAAATCACTACCCATTCAAAGTGGCCACATTTGTATCTAAAGGTCACTCCAACCCTACCAAAACTGAACTCTTAACCTCCACCCGTGTACCTTTCCTATATATTTGATATTACCATCTAAATTACTTATTTCTTTGAACACCTAAATTTAATCTCCTGGCCGGTCGTACTGTTTGAACCTCAAATCATGTCGTGTCCATCCACTTCTCCCCACCACCTCCTCTACAACCCTAGTTTCGCACTCTGCTTCCTGCGTCCTAATTTTGTGTGCCTCTCGCCCTTTTTCAGCTCATTTTCCACTGGTTTTTAAAGCATACACCAAGCTTAGTGTGAGGTTTTCTGCCCTGAGTCCTGCTTCCTTGGGGGGCTGAGATGCATCCCGGAGCTCAGGAGTTTGAGGTTAGCCTCAGCAAAAACATAGTCTGACTCCATCTCAAAAAATAACATACAAATAAAACACACACCTATTGTAACCCTGCCTAACACTCCCCAGTGGCTTCTCATTACAGAATAAGATATACTCAGCCCTCTGCCCTCTCAGGCCACAGTCCCCATCACACTTTCACCATCCCCCACCCTCACCCCCTGCCTGCTCCCCTGCTTTTCCCCAGACCAGTGGATGTCTTGGCTCTTAACATTGGTTGGAACGCTCAGCCCCCTGCAGTCCACAAGACTTGTTATTTATAACTTAACTTTACCTAGTTGCCCCTTAACCTCTTCTATCGGTAGTGCCCTATCACACCACCCCAAAGGCTTCCCGCCAAAAGTCCCCTATTTGGTCACCACCCCCATTCCCACCCAGTAGAAACCAAATGTCCTCACACGAGTCTCATTTCCCAAGCACAGTACCTGGTACACAGTAAGTAGGCATGCTGGGATAGGAGATTTGACTGACTGAATGAACAAATACAATCCCTCTTTTAATGAGATACAAAGTCCTGTGTCAATTACATATGCCAAAACCGGTTGTTCTTTTAAAAATGTATCTACTTTTCCGCTCGTTTAATTCCCATGCTGAGTGAACATTCGTGGCAGAAATATGACGATTTAGAAAGTTAGAAAGCTTCTCCCTCCCAGCCTTAAATGTGCTTATTCTCCCCCCCCCCCCCTCCCGCCCCGCCCCAGACTCTGCCTTCGTGTAAATTACCATCCTCTCTGGCCTTCTCCCTGTAGGTTCTAATCACCCCTATGTCTTACTCTCCAGACCGCAGCCAAAGAACAGTTCGGCTGCTACCGTACCCTTCTGCCGTTCCTTGAGAACGCCTGGGAGCTTTCCTTGTTATCAAGAAAGACCAGAACTTGCTCTTGTCCACCACCAGGCTAACACTTCTGGTTCCCGTCTGCCACCTAGCTGGGTAGCAGGGGCTTCCCTCTTCCAGGACGGGTTTTTACAAAAGCGCCGCCGTTGCCTCCTTTAGATCTCAGAAGACTGTGTTCCCTTCCCTCCGGAAGCCCTCCCAGACTAGCCCAAGCTCCATCATAAAGCCCCTCATCGCAAAGGGCCCCGTCTTTCTGAGCTCATACTTGCTTCACAAACATAGACTTCTAACCGCCTCGGCTTTTACAACCTGCCTTCCCGCTAGCCCGCGCCCAGCGACTATTTGCGGAAGGAACGAACTGACAAGCCAACCAACCACCGCTCGCCCTTCCCCCGCCGGCGCGCCGCAGCAGTGACGCATTAAGCTGGCGCCGCGAGGACGGGCGTGTCGGGGGCGCCTGCGCGACGGGGCGCGCATGCGCAGAGGCGCGAGCCTGCTGACAGATTCTCGAAGGCGGCGGCGGCAGCGGCGGCCTTCGGCCGCGGGGAATGGGAATCTCAGGGCCCTGACTGAGCACCGCCCCCGCCTCCCTGCCGAGACATGGCTCAGGAGAAGATGGAGCTGGACCTGGAGCTGCCCGCGGGCACGGGCGCGAGCCCGGCGGAGGGCGGTGGCCCGGGCGGTGGGGGCCTCCGGAGATCTAACAGCGCCCCCCTGATCCACGGCCTCAGCGACTCCTCGCCGGTTTTCCAGGCCGAGGCGCCCAGCGCCAGGCGGAACAGCACGACGTTCCCGAGCCGCCACGGCCTGCTGCTCCCGGCCTCGCCGGTCCGCATGCACAGCAGCCGCTTGCACCAGATCAAACAGGAGGAGGGCATGGACCTGATCAACCGAGAGACGGTCCACGAGCGCGAGGTGCAGACCGCAATGCAGATAAGCCACTCCTGGGAGGAAAGTTTCAGCCTGAGTGACAACGACGTGGAGAAATCCGCCTCTCCAAAGCGCATCGATTTCATTCCGGTGTCTCCAGCACCGTCCCCGACCCGGGGAATTGGGAAGCAGTGTTTTTCACCGTCCTTGCAAAGTTTTGTGAGTAGCAACGGATTGCCTCCAAGTCCTATTCCCAGCCCCACCACCCGGTTTACTACCCGGCGAAGCCAGAGTCCCATCAACTGCATCAGACCAAGTGTTCTTGGACCATTGAAAAGAAAGTGTGAAATGGAAACTGATTATCAGCCAAAGAGATTTTTCCAGGGCATCACCAACATGCTGTCTTCTGACGTTGCACAGCTGTCAGACCCTGGCGTGTGCATAGCCTCCGATACCCTGGATGGAAACAGCAGCAGTGCCGGATCTTCCTGTAACTCACCAGCGAAAGTCAGCACTACCACCGACTCTCCTGTGTCGCCTGCCCAAGCAGCCTCCCCCTTTATTCCAGTAGATGAACTTTCGTCTAAGTAATTCACCCGTTTTGAATCCCCCTCCCCCAGTGGAGAGAGAGAGACAGAATCAAGTTAGAGCAAGCACTGAACCTTGTCGATTAAGTTGAGGCTGTTTCCTATTTGACTCTTTCCCCCTTTTTTTGGAAGTTCCTGAAATGTTATTCTAGAGAATTTCTATGTCAGGTTCCTGCGGACGCCCTTGAATTCAGTGTAGTAATATTTTCGGACTTTTTATCAATAAGTGTGTTGAAGCATACATTTTACGCTGCTAATATGTCTAAATACATATGTTATCCCTTGATTTTTTTAAATAATTGAGAGCTCTATTTATTTATGGGATTATTAAGTTCTGATGAAAATATAAATGTTGAATTTCAGTTTAGTAAACTGATGTTTTAAAATTCCATAGTTCATGGCACACTAATTTTTAATGTTTTTAGTGATTACTGTTTTCCATCTCTTGAAGAACTTACCTTCTTACAGCTTTAAAGAAAAATGTTAGTCATATCAGTCCATTGGTTGTCTGGTAAACCTAGGGGTCCTTCAATATTTAATGTCCTGGGCACAAAAGTAGATGGGAGGGGAAATGCCAAAAAGAGAAATAATAACATTTTTCAACAAATATTTTAAAAAATTAAAATTAAGTATATAAAAGTAAACATTTAAGAAGGACATTTTCTAACAAAATTTTAATAGTGAATTCACACCAGTATAACTTCAGAAATGAAAAGTTTCTTTTTGAAAACATTTTTAACCAGAAAGTGCATTCTCTTGGGTACAATCCTCAAAGTTCAATGGGACTGTGCCTTGTTGTCTTTGCTCACTGTAGAAAGCAAAGGCAGGGCTCTTGCTACCATGTCAAACTTAACATTTGAGAAATATAGATGTTTGGGAAACCCCATTGAGTGTTGGGAGAACACCCAGACAGACGATATTCTCTCAATCATCGATAGACTTTACTATCCAGTCATGTCTTGATTCTTAAAATTCTTGCCAATGAGAAGCCAAAGCAGCATTTGGCTGCTTTTTTTGCTCTGCCCATCTGTCACCTGCTCAGGAAGGAAGCAGCTGTTTCCTTGCCAACAGGTACTTCCTACACCCTACCAAGCTAGGACATAGACCAAGGTACCTCCGACTTGGATTCTGACGGAGTGATGCATCTCTATTGTTGGAGCTACATTAGCAACAGTGGAAATGTTACTTGAAGGCCAATGGGGTACAGGAGATCAGTGGAGAGTCACAACGTGTCATCATCACTTAGGTTTCCATAAAGTGCAGTTATGGAGTGCTTTTGCGATTAAGATAAATGGCAAATAGTTTTTATATTGTACTTTATAATACTTTATTCTAGATAGACAAGGCAAGCAGACAGACAGGTGAAATGAATAACAGATCAACAGGAAAAGGTTAAAAAATAATACTTTAAGAAAGACCATGACAAAAACTCGTTTTTAAAGTCATTGCCTACAGATTTTAAGAATTATATGGAATTTTTACAACTATGAGAATAAATGGAACTGGTCAACTCTTGACAGTTGCATCAAGTTTCAGTGAAATAACATCAAGGGTAAGGTTGTGTCTGTATGTGTAACATTTCTGGGTAATAGTGTATTTTGCTGACACCCTGATTGTTCCTCAGCTTAAACTTACAATATATCCACTTTCCTGTGGGGTGCTTGACCTACTTATAGAGGAACTTTAATAACTTCAAAACAAGATTCACCGCCACATTTAATGTGTTCTTGCAGGTTGATGCCATCGATGCCTCATTTCCTAAACTGGATGCCATGTAACATCTGACTTCTTCCTGTCAAATACAGCGTAACCACCAAGTTCTGTCAGTTTCTTCTAAAGTGTGTCTCAGTGTGTCTCGTGTTCTATTCCAGCTCCCCTTGTCACCTGCCTTCCTGTGTCTCACCTACCTTATGGCTTGCTCTTCACACTGGCTCCCGAATAATCTTAATACATTATAAACTTGATTTCTTTCACGTTCATGCTCAAAAACTATATTATTTCTCCCTTGATAGTTTAGGTAGTTCTGTATAGTTTCTGACTGTAGTGACCTGTAGTGGTGTGGCTGTTCCCGAAAGGAACTCCAGTCCTCTCGTCTCAGAACTCACCTCCCTCCTGCTGCTGCAGAGACTAGACTTCTTGGTAATCCCTAAATAGATTACATATTCTTACATGTTTGCACTTTTAAAATGGATGTGTTTGTACATGTGTGCGGCACACACACTGTGGTCAGATGACAGTGTGCAGAGTTCATTCCTTTCATCCTGTGCATTCTGGGAGTCACTCAAGTCACCAGGGGTGTCAGCAAGTTGTCATGTCTTGTTTTTTGGCACATTGTTCTTTCTCCCCCAATGATATTCCAGCAAATGCCTTTTTAAGTTTGTGTGTGTGTGTGTGTGTATACATGCATTGTGCACATGCATACACACACATATGAAGTCAGAAAGCAGTTTGTGTGAACTGATTTTCTCCTTTCACAGTGTTGGCTCCACTTGGCAGCTGGAGCCTAAATTTACCCACTGACCCATCTTGAACCAGCCCTCCTCCACTTTTTAATTCCACATGAACTTCGGCTGAAAACTGTGTTTAGATTATAAAATCCTTAAGTAATGTATACATGTATATAGTTAAAAATCTGCCATTTACTATGTAAACTTCATTGTCTCTTCCTACAGGTAACATTTGCTGACAGTTTGGTGTGCACTCTGCAAGCTGTGATGCTCTGCATTTCCCTGTATAGATATGTGCGTGTAGATGCAGGGCATCAGTATGCGTTGGCAGTTCTCTCCATTTCTTTCACCCCATCTTTAATCATTCACTAGGTCTTACTGATTTTATCTCCTGGAATCTAACTCCCGGTTTCAATCTCTGCTGCCAGCAAGATCCAGGCTATTGTATCCTTCTTGGGCTTCTCTCCCAGTGGTGCTCAGCATCCTCACTCCTGTCTGCTGTCTGTTCGTTTGCTCAGCGTTACCCTTTTAGTATTGCTTGTTTCTTATTTTTATGAGTGTACAAAATGCATCGGTTCTGGCTTGGGGCTCTGAAGGATTGGCCCTTGCCTCTTCCTTGTTTTTGTTTGTTTGTTTTGTTTTTGTTCCACCCTCGCTAGTTAGCTATCCTCTTTTGAAAAAATTATTTATATGTATATGAGTGTTTGCCTGCGTGTATATTTGTGCACCTTGTGCATGCCTGGCACCCACGGAAACCAGAATAGAGCCTCAGATCTGATCTATGATAACTGGAGTTACAGACTGTTGTAAACTTTCATGTGAGTGCTGGGAATTGAACTCGGGTCCTCTGGAAGAGCAACCAGTGCTCTTAACCTTTGAGCTGTCTCTCGAGCCCTCTCTTTCTGCTTTTTAAATGCCTGATATTCACTCTTACTGCTTCCTTTCGCCAGGTCGTTTTCCTACAATCTATGAAAGCCTTTATTTTCCTAAACTGCTGCTTTTCTGTAGGTGGTGAATCTTAAGTAAGCTAAGACTCAGCGTTTGTATGAGTAATTTACATCACCATAGCAACTTTAACCATTCCTCCTTAGCTCACGTGGACATTTGCTTCCAAAAACACATATTTAAGATATTAGTATTGCCAATTCAGTAATTCTGACATAAAGCAATTAACAGCACTTAGTTAAAGGGCCATTTTGTCATATCTAATAAACTTCTGCAGTATATTTTCTTTCCTTGTGGGTGTAAAATATATATCATGAATGAACGAAATCACAACTGGTTACCAAACCAGAGGGCTGCTGGATGCTGGGACTTTTAAGCATACTTAAAAGTGCATGCCCTCCAGAAAGACCTGGATCAGGTTGCCTTCCAGCGAGTCACATTGATTAGTTCAACCCATTACACAACTTACCTACCTCAAGAGACCACTTGAGATAGTTGGCAGGAAAACAAGTAGTCTGAACTTAGTGAAAGGCTGGACTTTTCCCCCTGTATTTTGTTGGGGGGGGGGTATGGGGAAATTGGTAGAAAATTAGAGAGAGGAAGTTGCTGTAAGATGAGGCAGGGAAGGCAATGTAAATTACAGTCCTAAGTGGGTATCAGAAAAGAAAAGACTTGCCCTTGGAAAGCAAGACTAGAAACCTGGTTTTCTTCAACCCGAATGAAAAGGTTGGCAAAGACACCGCAGCTGTTGGGTTGCTTTTGCAGTGGTTTTAGGGGCAGAGGTATGGAGGAAGACTACACATATGATCAGTAGTAAATTAGCTTCGCATCTGCTTCCTCCATCTAGTTAATGAGGAACATAGGGTCAGAAGTGAACTAAATGATTAATGGCCTGAGAATGTCTAAAGGAGAGGCTTAAGAATGAATAGAGGGCTAGCTAGGCCACATTGGATTCTGTTGGCATCCGCACAGAGGTGAGCTGAACTGACTAGGTTTGGGAGTCAGCTAAGTAGCTACTAGTTAATGTGAGCACGTTCCTGGGAAAGTACAGTTGAGTGAGAGGCGTTGGGGATGGTCAGAGGATGAGTGGGATCCTATTCATGATCTGACCTTATAACCTGTCACACCAATGAAAATGGAGAACCTGGTCTCATTGTGGCACTTTTAACTATAATTTTTCACTGTTGACCTTATTTAGCTAGAAGGACAGCCCAAGAGGCAAGCTTCCACCTGAACTCCACTTAGTTGGTAGACATTTGTATCGTACTGCCCCTAAGAACCAAGACACAGTTTGTTGACATCTAGGTATATTTTTCTGAAAAATTAAAATAATATTTATGTAAAATGTAATGAACTGCTCTCTGTGTATCTAGCATTTTTAGGTGCTAGTTTTCAATGTAATTATTTTACCGTTTCCTGAGATGGTCTTAACCCTTGTTTTTTGAATGAGGAAATAGGGGTAGAACGGTGAGGACACTTGCCTGGGAGTCCAAAGCTGGAAGCTTCGCTGCTGGTTGCAGTGGTTATGAACGGACTGCAGAGCCAGGCTGCTGTGGTTCAGGGGCCAGTGGATGCAAGGACCTAACAACAGTACGGAACAGTGAAGGGACATGGAGCTGGCAGCTGTCATTATCGTGTGCTTCTGAGCAGTTCTTTCCCTCTGTAACCTCCCCCGGATTTGGGCCCAGCTCACTGAAACTGCAGAACAAGTCTTATTTCTCCTTTTTAGCTCCAGTTGTCATCCTTCCTTTACAAATCCAGAACACTGATCCTTTTCTCATGGCCACTGCTTGCTCCAGATTTTAGAGGCGTGCGGTGCTTTCTTCAGTGAAGTAAGGCTGTCAGATGACAGTTCTCTCAGGACCCTTTGCCTTACCAGGTGGGGAGGTCAGAGTCATCTAGCAACATAAATTTTTATGAGTATCAGTATTGTATATTGTTTATATCTGGACTATTTCCATGCAGCATTCAGTATGGGTTCAGGCACCATTTTCATT